GCAAGAATGCCTTTGTTTTCTTGCAGTGACCCTCTTTGGCCTGGGCACAGCTGTCTGACGGACAAAGCAAGCCAAGAGTACAGCCATGTTTTCTGAACAGGCAGCTCAGAGGCCCCACACTTTGCTGTCTCCACCAACAGTCAACAATGCCACCTTTGCCCGGGTGCCTGTGGCAACTTACACCAACTCCTCACAACCCTTCAGGTTGGGGGAGAGAAGTTTTAGTCGACAGTACGCCCATATTTATGCCACTCGCCTCATCCAGATGCGACCCTTCTTGGTGAACCGGGCCCTGCAGCATTGGGGTGAGTTTAGGGGGTAATCCCCCCACCAGCTCAGAACTTAGAACCAAAATTTTTCTCTAATTTCTACTTCCTAGTTACCTTGGGAAAATTAACCTCTTTATCCTTCAGTTTCTTCTTAAGGTAATAATGAGGATTAAGTAACCTGTGGGTTTCATGTTAAGTTTAGTTCAGAGACTGGTTTGAGTTAAGGGCTTAGTTTTGATGGTGACAGTGAATATTTCATTAGCAGAGGGAAATGTTTTTCCTATCTTCAGTGCAAATTATTCCGCTGTTTGTTCACACTATAGCTAAAGAGCCCCTTGGTATGTCAAGAAGACAAGATTTCTGGAGATGCACACTATGGTCTCCTTACTTCACTGATGGCTTCTCCTGGCTTCCTGTATTGGTAGCCTTGAGTCTTCTGTCCCTTGGGCTTTCTCTATCTTTCCTAATAAAGTGGCCTGGGCAACATGACCCATTTTCTTTTCCTCATTTCTTCTTTGGTGATTGCACCTGCAATTAGATTATTCTCCGTGGTGAAAAAGGACCCCCATCTCCCACTTTTAACTTTTGGGTGATGTTACATTTTCATGATTTGCATGAGTGGTTTTCCATGTTGTTTTCAAATTCATCTCCTATTTTGTTTTTAAATTGAGGCTTTTATAGGTAAGACCCTGCCTTACTTATCCCTAGCACCAGACTTGGTGAATCTCAGTCCTGGTGGCCCATGGGAACCACTGGGAACTTTGAGAAACACTGGCTGTCAGGCCCCTCCCACCTCTCATTGAACCGTTGGATTAATTCTCAGTTTATTTGGGCAGTGGGAGAACTCTGGGCCTGGAAGTTTGCTAGGTAGATTAGCAAATTCTTTGGGGATGTGATGTTTTCTTTACCTCAGCCCAAAGTACTATTTGCCTGTCCTCTACCACATAACAAGGGGCTGCTTTCTGTCTCTACTAGAGGAAACACATAAAGGGGAGTAATTTGAACTTTTTCCTTGCTTTCCTTTAAGCCATTGGGGACACTGTCCGTGGACTCTCCTGCTGCTTGGGCCCAATATCAATACCACCTTCCAGGAGTTTTAAGCAGCATGTTCTTTCCCAGTGATTGAACCCGCTAACAGTGCTCCCAGGTGATTGACAGCAGCCATTGCATTCCACACACTGACTGTGGGCAAGAATTTAGGCAGCTGCCACAATGAAGGGGGTGACTGGCAGCAGGTCACCACAGACCTGGTGGTGGATGCTGGCTATCACCTAGAATACCCACAGGAGGCTTCTCTGTGTAGCCTGGGCTTCCTCATCAAAGCTTAGCCTGGGGCTGGGGATGTGGCTCAAGCAAGCCGTAGCGCGCTTGCCTGGCATGCTTGCGGCCCAGGTTCGATCCTTAGCACCACATACCAACAAAGATGTTGTATCCACTGAGAACTAAAAAATAAATATTAAAATTCTCTCTCTCTCTCTCTCCTCTCTTCTGTCTTAAAAAAAAAAAAAAAAAAAAGCTTAGCCTGCCTCTCAGAATTGGTCTCTCTCTACTCACCTGTTCCCTGAACATGCCAAGCCTTCCTGCTGTAGACTTTTTCCATTGACTGGCACATTCTCTCCCTAGTCTTCTGGCCTTACATTCTCAGTTAAGGTGGCATGTCCTTAGGGAGACCACCTTTGGTGACCTTAACCTGTCAGAGTCTACTCTATATTTTCTACCTCAGCTCCCTATTTGTCCGTGGGCAATTATTTGTGTACTGTCTGTTGGCTGTCTGCCTTCTGGAAGGGGATCAGTGAGAGCAAGTGTTGGTCTTGTGTCCAGTTTTGTTGTTGGTACCAGTGCATTACTTGGAGAAGAGTATCCTGCCTTGGGTTAATGTTTCCACCAAGTACTTAAGGGTCATACATTTGTATCCCAACTCTGTGACCTTAAACATAATACTTAACCTCTCAATGCCTCAGTGTGGGTATAATATTTATTCTTAGTGTATTGTTAGGATTGACTGAGTTGAGTGTACTGTGCTTAGTGGGGCCACCTAGGGCGTGAGAGCATATATTAGTCCATTTTCTGTTATTGTAACAAAATTCTTAAGGTGAGGTACTTCGTGTAGAAAAGAGGTTTATTTAGCTCATAGTTCTGGAGGTTAAACGGTGTGATACCAGCATCAGCTTCATTCCAGTGAGCTCCTCATAGCAAATAGTAGGAGCACATGCAAAAAAAAAAAAAGGGGAGAGATCACATCAACAAACTGAAAGCCAGAGAGCAGTTCAGGGACTGGGCTCATTCCTATAACAACTCACTCTCAGGAGAGCTTTAATCCCTTCTGGGGGCTGCTCCCCCAGTGAGATAAGGACCTCCCACTAGATTCCCCCCTCTTAAACATATCTCTACCTCTCACAAAAAGGTAGAGATATGTTTTAAAAAAAAAAAGGTTTTGGACCAAACCTCCAATACACGAACCTTTGCTAGACAAGCCATATCCAAATTCTAGCAGGAATGTGTTGTTTTCTTTGGTGTGTGGTGTTTCTTACTGGTGGTGTGCCCCTCTTATCTTGTTTCAAATTACTCCCCTCTTTGTGCTTCCCCAGATGTACTGAGGAATGTTTTTGGTTCTTCCAGGGCAGGAAAGGGTTGGGCTGTGCAGGGGTCAGTTAAGCTGAGGGACTACATGATCTTCACATTACTGTGCCTCCTCCTTACAGGGGTTTTTCCTAGGCATGGGGATCCATTGTGATGAGTCCACAGGCCTTTAGAGACTTGCGTTCCTTCCTCCTGCCCACCCTGGCTCTCTACAGCTCTCCTCTAGAATGTACAGAACATTCTGATGTGTTCTAACTTACCCCAGGATCCTGGGTACGCCTGGTGATCAGGGCTGCCTGACTCCAGAAGGAACAGAAAACACAGTGGGGTGGAAGAGGGTAGGATGTCTGACCTTTGGATATCTCTGTTTTCAGAGGATGAAGCATTTGGGGACAGAGGATAGAACAGAAGAATGAAAACTCTTAAATTGTAATATTTTTAGGGCCGGATTCTATTGGGATTTAGCATGCTTCTTTCTAAGAATGATTATTATCATTTAGGCATAAGTGAAGTAATGCTCTGTACTAGTTTCCTATGGCATTATAATATGGCATTATAATAAAGTACCACAAACTTGCTGACTTAAGACAATATTTATTCTCTCCATTCTAGAAGCCAGAAATCTGAAATCAAGTTGTCAACAGGGTTGGTTCCTTCTGGAGACTCTAGGGGAGGATCCTTCCTCCTTCTTCCAGCTTCTGGTGGCTCCGGGCCCTCCCAGGCTTGTGACCACAGAACTCTGGTGCCTGCCCTATCTTCACAAGGCCTTGCTTCTGCATATCTGTCCCTATTTGCTTCTGACTCTTAGGTGGATACTTGGCATCTGGGGCCCCACCACACCCACAGGCTTTGTCCCTCTGGCAGACCCCCCCTTCACTGTTGTGCTGAGGTCCAGGAGGTCTTTCACTTTATGTTCTCTCCTTCCTGGTAAAGACAAGGGCCCAGGCCTACAGCACTCTGATGAGGCTCTTTGTAAGTGCCCCATTGCAGAGGGCTGGGCAGGGGCCTCCGCTTGCTTGGTCAGGGGTGAGGCTGGTCTCTGAGTCTGTATCCCTTACACTAGGCAGTGAAGTTGAAGTAAAGAAGCTGTGTGAGCTGCAGCATGGGGAGAAGTGCTGTGTAGTGGGCACTCTGTTCAAGGCCATGCCACTCCAGCCTTCCATCCTGCGTGAGATCAGTGAAGAGGTAAGACCTATGTGGGAGGACACTGATGTGCCACCCTAATAGACCCAAGGGGTTGGGGATGGGTCTCTGCCCATGGAGAGCGAAGGAGCAGGTCCAGAGGGGCAGGGGCTACAATACCATCTTGAAACATAGGAACTTTGGTGGCCTTGATCCCAAGACTACCTACCATTTCTGCCTTTCAGCACAACCTGCTCCCCCAGCCTCCTCGAAGCAAATACATCCACCCAGATGATGAGCTGGTCTTGGAAGATGAATTGCAGCGTATCAAACTGAAAGGCACCATTGATGTGTCAAAATTGGTCACAGGTGGGAGCCCAGTGAGAGTGGGTAGAGCCCAGCATGAATATGTTAATATGGGGAGAAACAGGGAATTCAATGAGAGGGTGGTGGAGGTAGGGAGTCCAATGAGGTTTTATTGGTAGGAGGTTGGGAGAGACTTCACTATGGTTGTGTTGGGGAGCTCTGTGGGGGCTGTCAGGGCTTGTGCTTGAGGGGCTAGTGCATTTATGTTTGTGGGAAAGTAGGGTGCCATCACTGGGCGAGACCAATCTTCCAGCCTCTACCCAGGGACAGTGACCCCAGAAAGTTGGCTTTAGTTTCAGAGTCCTAAAGAAAATTAACTGGTGTGTTGAGAGAGGCTGGTGGTTCTGCCCATTTGGGTGATGGGAGGAGGTGGGAACACCTGACCACCTCACTGCTCCCCAGGAACAGTCCTGGCAGTTTTTGGTTCCGTGAGAGATGATGGAAAGTTTCTGGTAGAGGACCACTGCTTTGCTGACCTTGCTCCACAGAAGCCTGCACCCCCTCTTGACACAGACAGGTGAGGAGTCCCAGTGCCAGGGCCCCAGTGCCAGTGCAAGGAGAGGTATATCCTTCCATGGCACCCTGCAGGACCCCACTGTCTCTGCAGGTTTGTGTTGCTCGTGTCTGGGCTGGGCCTGGGTGGAGGCGGTGGCGAGAGCCTGCTGGGGACTCAACTGCTGGTAGATGTGGTGACGGGGCAGCTCGGGGATGAAGGAGAACAGTGCAGTGCTGCCCACGTCTCCCGGGTTATTCTTGCCGGCAACCTCCTCAGCCACAGCACCCAAAGCAGAGATTCTATCAACAAGGTATGGAGGCTACCTGGCTGTATTCAGCCTTCCTGCTGCAGTGGGCGGGCTCCTGCACTGGGGCTGTATTCACAAGCAGCCCTGCTTCTTGAGGGTATATGGGCCAGAGTGGGGTGCAGGGTCTATGAGGCAACTCTAAATCTTTCTGCTGGTGGGCTTTGCTCTGCTTTCCTCAGCTGAGAACTTAGGTGGGCTCTGGGTGTCCCTTTGACCTCAGGGCCTAAGGGCTTCCTGGGTTTCTACACCCAGGCCAAGTATCTCACCAAGAAAACCCAGGCAGCCAGTGTGGAAGCAGTCAAGATGCTGGATGAGATCCTCCTGCAGTTGAGTGTGAGCAGCTTTGGGGGCTGGCAGGGTGTGGAGACCCCAGTCTGTGAAGCTGTTGAGTGGGGATCGGGAGGTTAGGTGGCTGACTTGGGAAGTGGGAGCTCCCTCAGGTCCTGCAAGCTTTCCCTGCCCTATGCCCTCTAGGCCTCGGTGCCTGTGGACGTGATGCCAGGTGAATTTGATCCAACCAACTATACGCTCCCCCAGCAGCCCCTGCACCACTGCATGTTCCCACTGGCCACTGCCTACTCCACACTGCAGCTGGTCACCAACCCCTACCAGGCCACCATCGATGGAGTCAGGTAGCCGGTACAGCAGAAGGAGCAGGGGAGGAGGCTGGGGAGGAGGCAGGGCAACAAAAGGTTCTTGTACAAGGTTGGCCTGGAGCACCCCCAAAATATGATATGAGCTCTGGGCTGGCTATTATGGGTGGAGCAGAAGCAGTGGGCCCCAGGCCAAGGGTCAGCAGAGCCTTGCCTTGCAGGTTCCTGGGGACATCAGGACAGAATGTGAATGACATTTTCCGATACAGCAGTATGGAAGACCATTTGGAGATTCTGGAGTGGACTCTGCGAGTCCGTCACATCAGCCCCACAGCTCCTGACACCCTAGGTAACAGCATAGTCACACTGGTGGGATCTGCGGGCGAAGACAGTTTCCTGAGATTACACTGCCTTGCCCAGGCCTGTTAAGGAGAAGCCTGTTCTGGAAGCTATTCTAGACTCTTAATTTGTCTTTGGCCATGGCTCCCCAGTGCTCAAGACCATGGGAATATATTGGAAATTTGGGTTTTGCATGGTATAACCCCCCAGTCCCCACCCCTGAGGGCAGAGGCAACAGGGCCCCTGACCTGCCCCTCAGGTCTTGTGGTAACATGACTTTTGTCACAACTGGTGACTTTTAGTGGGTATGGGGAGGAATGCTGCTGTATATCCTGTGAAGGGTAGCCCCAAGGCAGGACTGCCTAGTCCCGGGTATCCTCTATACAGGCTGAGAAGCCCTGCTCAGCAACAGGCCCCTTTCCAGGTTGTTACCCCTTCTACAAAACTGACCCATTCATCTTTCTGGAATGCCCTCATGTCTACTTTTGCGGGAACACTCCCAGTTTTGGCTCCAAAATCATCCGAGGTAAGTTTTGTCTTTTGACAACCCTGAGCTCACAAGAGCAATTTGTTCTTCCCTGGGGGAGAAGCTCCCATGAACTAGATTGCCTGGGGTCTGCCCTGTGACTGTTATTTTATTTAAGGGGGCCAGACTGACTGGGGGCTGAATGGCTCTGAGCTGTGTACTTCTGATGTCACCCCCACTGTGACTCCTCTTTACTTCTGGGGGCTTTCCTGTGAGGCACACCTTGCCCAGAACCCTAAGTGGATCCGATGTGGTTCCTTTGTAGGCCCTGAGGATCAGATGGTGCTGTTGGTGGCCGTTCCTGACTTCAGTGCCACCCAGACTGCCTGCCTGGTGAACCTGCGTAGCTTGGCTTGCCAACCTATCAGCTTTGCTGGTTTTGGAGCAGAGGATGATGACCTTGGAGGCCTGGGGTTGGGCCCCTGATTTAGAGAGGCAGCTGGACCAGGCCATTTGCCTTTGCAATATAAGCCTTGTAAATAAAGCATTTATGTTTACTTGTCTGAGCTTTGACCTCCTCCTGGGCATACCTGGGATAGGACCCTAGTAGGGGCCAGCCTCTCCCCCTCAAGCTGGTCAGAATAGCAATGGTCAGTGCCATGAGCTTGTTTTATTGGTGTGACCTTGGGTGCCTCCCTGCCCCTCCCTGAAGGCTGGCAGGCAGGGCAGGAACCTCTGCACAGACACTGGCTCTTGGGTCCTTGTCTCCTTTGTGTCCCCTGCAGGACCCACACGAGGGGCCTTCCATGTGCTGATGGGTGTGTCTGTGGGCGCAGGCTTGGGAAGTGCTGCTGTAGCTTGAGCTGGGCCAGGTGGTGATGAGACCCTGGTCTTAGAAGTCTCCAAAGTTCACCGTGTAGGTCTCCACTGTTGTGAAGGGGAACGCAGGGCCAGTAGCTATCTCCTCTTCCTCCTCTTCCCCCTCTTCCTCTTCCTCTTCCGGCTCCAACTCAGTCCCAAATTCTGTTCCAAACTCTGTTCCAAACTCTGTCCCATACTCTGTCCCAAACTCTGTTACTACCTCCGTGTAGGTCTCGGTTTCCGATTCCTCCCAACCTGCAGTGGTTGTAGGTAGAAGGCCCCAAGGTCCCCAGGTAGTGCCTGGGGTGGGAGCAGCAGTGGGGCTGGGGACAGGGGTTGGAGTAGTGGTGGGACCCACAGTGGTATTGAGGCGACGCAGTCGCATCCGCTCTCGCATTCGCTCTCGCATTCGCAGGCGGTACTGTAGGCGGCGCTGCTGCAGGCGGCGCTGCTGAGGGGTCATGGGGCGCAAGGGGTCAAGACGCAGAATGGGCCGGTTCCCATTCATGGCTATGATCTCCCGAATGCGTTTCCAGTTGGAGCGAGCCAGGATGAAGTTGCACTGGGTGGCCCCAATGTCATAGTCCACATTGCAGGTCTTGGAACTGGAGGTAAAACCCTCTGCATGGGCTGTCACTCGATACTCACCCGGGTTCAAAATGCGCCAGTAATCACCACCACTTGCTACACAGGAAAGACAAGCTGGCTGTCCCAGAGCCTCTTTAGCTCCACCCTGCCCCTCTGAGCTTCCCAGCCCAACCTCTTCTAGGTGCCCACTAGTCCCTGTTCTTCCTGTGGCCAGGCCTTTCTCTGGCTGAGTCCTGCAGAGCAGGCCATCTTGCCACACTGATATGTCTCCCTTTGTTGTGGGTACTTAGGGAGGACAAGAAAGACTCCACCTGGGGAAGGTGGGTAAAGGTATGCACACAAGGTACCTGTCTTCACGCCATGGTTGATGCCATTCACAGAGATGGTGGCATTGGCAATGGGAATGCTTTGTTCATCTGTCACTATACCTTTGATGCCACGATGCACCTGTGGGAAGGAGGGAGATGAGGCTGGGGGACCACATGGAGACCCTATTTTGAGGGCCCTGTCCCAGACTTCACCCTTCTCTCCACATGCAGCCCAGACTGCCCTACCTGCTCCATGAAGGTGAGCAACGCCTCCTTGTTGTTTTCCCACTCCCGGGGCAGCTCACTTTCATGGGGGAATTTATCACAGCCCAGGTAGATAGAGAGCTCCAGGCAGTTGGTGTGCAGGTAACTGAAGTCGTTGATAGCTGGACGGACAGACAGAATCACAGTCAGCCTCTCCTTGGGCTGTTCCCCACCACAGCCCATCCCAGGTTGACTCACTCCCTGATCGTGGATTCCACTTGGCCCCGTTGACAATGCCCATGCCATTGGTGTAGTCCTGGGCCTGACAGCCTCCTCGGTAGGGCTCTGTCATGGTGAGGTGAGCAGAGGCAAAGGAGATGGCCAGCCAGCGGAAGATGGCATGGTCTGGGGTCTCCTGAGCCTCAGATGCCTCTTCATCATCCTCTCCACGGGCAGCTGCCATGGCTGCAGCCAGCAGCTGCTCCTGGCTGGGTGTGCGGGCCATATCATAGGGGTAGGATACGAGCCGCTCACCACCATTCAGATTTGCTCCGAGCACAAAGGGGTTCTTCTCCATCCAGGCAATGATGGCTCTGACCTCCGTGGATACCTGGGGGTGGCCAGCACAAGGGGCCAAGACTCCCATCATCATACCCCCTCCATCTCCCATCGTCATACCCCCTCCATGCTCATGACAGTGGCTCACTCTCCTCATCCCGTTATGTCCCTCTGACTCTCTCCTAGCCCCTAAATCTCAGCACCTGAGGTTAAGAAGCCCTTTCCTATTCCCCCAGCCCAGATTTTCAGGGTTAATTCCTCACCGTGGCATCTGGAGACAAGTAGCGCTCAGGGATGGGCAGGTTATTGTTGGGGACCCGGTAGGGGACCCATTTCCTCTCCTCAGCTCCCCAGAGCACAGAGTTTAGATCCGGAAAGTCCTCAAAGATGTCAAAGCCTTCCTCGGTCCACAACCCCAGTGCCCAGTTCCCAAACTCTGAGCCCTGTGAGAAGTCAACGGGGTCAGCTTTGTCCTCTTCAGCTGCTCATCCCCCAACCCCCACCCTTCCCTGGCCAGCCCCAGGTTCCACCTACCATCTGTGCAGCCACTTCATAACCATCAGGGTTCAGTGAGGGCACCAGGTGGATGCGAGTGTCCTGCACCAGGTTGCGCACACGGGGGTTCCCATCACGGTACTCTCGGCACAGGTACTGCATGAGCAACAGCAGTAGCTCTCGGCCCAGCACCTCGTTGCCATGGATTCCAGCTGTGTAGCGGAACTCAGGCTCCCCTGAAAGGGCAGGAGCCACAGCAAGCACTCAGTCTCACAAGGCCCAGGGCATTTGAGAAAGGACCCAGACACCAGGGGACAGGGGGCAGGGAGCAGCTGAGGCTTATGGTGCCCAGCAAGACAGGCCTGGATCCCCAGAGGGACTCCAGGAGCAAGCAGGAGGTGGTGAACTCCACATAGCAACTGCACAGGCCCTGCTGCAGTGCCAGGGTCTTGCCTCTGATCCTCTGTGGAGTGGAAGCTGAGCCAAGTAGCTCAGGGCCAGGCAGCCAGGGCTAGCAGAATGGTGCCCTCAGGCCCTCACCCAGCTCATGATCCCCAGGGTTGTCCGAGATCTCCATGGCATATATCTTGAGCCCTCGTGAGCTCTTTCCCAGGCTGTATGTGCGGGTGATGGTGGGGCATTCTTCATTCACCACCTTCATCAGCTGGCAGGGAGAGGGCACCACATCACTGACCATGCCTCTTCCTCTGTCCTGATCTGTTTTATGGGATGGATAGCTAAACCTAGCCCCTCTCAGGTGGCCCACAGGTTCTAGTCTTCCTAAGTCAAGGGGCAGTCAACATCCCTCTAAAGGAGGCTGGGCCCCTGAATCAGCAGGACTGGGCTAGGTATGAGTTCCAGTCACCCCTGAAAAGGGCCCACCCTGGCATGGGACACAGGCTTCTAACCTGGCGCATGTCCTTGTAGCTGTGGTGCCGGAAGTCCAGGTCATCAGTTGCCACCACCTCATTCTGTGCATAGTAGCTGTGGACAGCTGCAGAGGGGTAGGCAGTCGGGATCTTGATGTTGACTCACCCACAGATCAACTCCAGCCACCCCAACCCCTGGCCAGCCCCTCCATACTCACGAGTCACAGGGCAGCCCAGCACTTCCAAGCGCATGCACAGGCTGCCATTCCAGGTAAGTGGGTAGATCCGGATGAATCGAGCCACCACTGGCTCTGGAAGCTCACTCAGCACAGGTGTGTCCTTGTCCACATTCCCATGGAAGATCTGGGGAGGGACAGGCCTCAGAATAGCACTCCTACCCCTTCTGAGAGCCCACTCTGGCCCACACAACAGAAACAGCACAGGGTTCAGGTGCCTACCATTTCCTCATAGCCATTGGTGTACATCATCCATGTCTGGCTGTCATTGCTGAAGCCCACGAAGAAAGTGGTCACAAAGTCGTCACTGTGGAGAAGATGTTGTCAGGGCAAGGCTTCTCTCCTACACCAGGCCCCAGCCCCAGGTGACCTAATCCCCCTTTCTGAACCAGCAGGGCTATGGAGTTTTACTTGGGCATCAGGTACTAGGTCCTGTGCCTGTCCATGGCTGTGGGTGGTAGCTTGTCCCTAACCTCATGCTCATCTGAACTCAGGGGCTAACTACCATGGCTGAGGGTCAGGGGCAAGGCTGGCCACTCATGGATTTTACTGGCTTTTCTAGACCAGCTCAAGGGCTGACTGAAATGTCCCAAATGGGACTCCAAACCTTGCCAACTTCCCAAGAGCCCAGCCACGTACTGAATGCTGGAATCTCGGCCCTGGGTGATGACGCCAGTGAACCGAGTAGTCCTCCTGGTGTCCACCTCAATCCACTGGGTCTGTGAGTCATCCTCAGCACACCATGCCCCATCATAGTAGTCATCCTCATTGGCACCAGCCTGTCCAGGACAGTAGGTTCTGAGCATGGGTGGAAGAGCCCTTTGCCTGCTAGGGGATGGGCCAACCACTCACCCACCTGCATGTTGAGCCGGCCACGCTGTGCCCCTAGGCCATGGCGCAGCATGGAGGAGGCGCGGATCTGGTTGTCCTCAATGCGGTGCGACTCCATCCCAATGGGCGGGCACTCTGAGGACACACACCCCAGGCTGATGGCTAGGGGCTCAGATCTCCCTCCACCAGCCCAGAACCACAGGGCCTACAGCCCATTCCCCTCAAATCAGAGATGCTAATTGGAGGCTGTGGTAGCTTGTGGCTCTGCTTCCCCTGCTTGGGCCACAGCTGCCCTATCTGGAGAAAGAACATACTGATGGTGCTCAGCTCTCAGGAACTCAGGACTCACATTAAATCCCATGCAGAGCCCTGCCAGTCATGACTTCACCCAGATGATGAGGTCATCTGCACACTGGCCCCCACAAGGATGTCCACCTGTAAAGGCAGCTGGAGGCCTCGATTTTCACCCAAGGCCCTCCTCACTCCCAACCCTGCCCCAGCTGCAATTTTGTTTGGTGTACGGTTTTGAGCTAGTTTTTGTCCTATCCCTACCCCATCCCCACTCACTGATTTTCTCCACTGGAGCCCACTCCTCTTCTAGCTCCTCGCCCTTTCGGGGACCTGTAGACAAGGGAGGAACTAGATCCAAGAGCCCAAGGCAACAAGAGTCAAGATGCCCCCATGGGGACCAGCCACACACCTTTTTGGTCTTTGCCCTTTTCCACAGCCCACTTGTCCTCTGTTTCCTCCTTGGGGCTGCTGCCCTTTTTGGGTTTCTCTGGAGGATGCAAGGTAAGAGGTCTGTCATCCTGGGCCTCAGCATGGGTGTGGTCAGACTGAGCTGGGATGTGTGAGTAACAGACTAAGCTCTGAAATGGCTGAGTTGGGACATATAGTAGGTGGGCAGGTTGAGCTGGTGTACTTGGAAGTTGGTCAGGCTAAGTTAGAGTATTTGGGGGGTCAGGATGAGCTAAGACATATGGTGAAGCTTAGCTAGAGCATTTGGGAAGTCAGGATGAGCTTTGACTCATGGATGAAGCTAAGCAAGGGCATATGGGGGGGGTCAGGCTGAGCTAGGGCACATGAAGAGGATGTCTGGCAGGCAGAGCTGGCCGTAGGGGGTGGCCCTGGTCCCACTCACTTAGCTCTTCCTTCTCTTCATCTGTTTCCAACTCAACATGGGGCTTCTGTGGCGGAGGAGGCAGGAAGTAATAGTCCACTATGGGGAGAGAGAGCTTGGCTGAGGCAGCTCTGATCCTGCTCTGGGGGCCTTGGTTCCTGGGTTCACAGGAGCCTACAAAGCAGGACTAGGCAGGAGGGGAGGGAGGTAGGGACAGGCTAAGAAGAGGAGAGGGGTCCTCCTATGAGAGGGTGGGGCATCGGGTGGGACAAACAAGACCCTGCTGAGGTCCCCAACATGGTCCCACAAGGCAGTTTGGCCTGAGGCAAGAAGGAATCAAGACTGGGCAGAGAGTGGTACCAGGGCAGGTGACATGCCTGAGTGGCAGCTGGCACCCTATGGCACCATGAGGACTGAGCTAGAGAGAGGGTTGGAGGAACTGACAGGGATCTGGAGGCAGGAAACGAATAAGGACCTGCTCAAACCCATAGCCCAGGAGAGAGGGAATCTGCAGGTGCCACAAGCACTGGGGATGATGAGCTGGAGCAAGGTGACCCTCAGGAAAGGTAGCAAAGAGCTGGGAGGAAGGAGACACAGGACAGGGAGGGCTGGGCCTGCATGGAATTGAAAGCCTAGGGACACCCCTGTGGGGATAAAGGCAAAGTCAGGAGCCAGGAAAGCAGGCAGGGAAGGCCCAGTCCCTGGCCAGATTCCTGGCCCCATGTGTCCACTCACCTATATCCCTCAGACTCTAGGACACTGGATACTCACTGTCATCATAGTTAGGGATCACGAAGCCATCCCCGTAGTCAGGGGGCAGCACAGGCTTTGGAGGTGGCTCTGTGGAGGTGTGGAGTTGGGGGTAGGCCAGAGCCCCGCCCCTCCCCTCCATCTTTTCCCCTTTTGCCCCCCATCCTACCAATTATCTCCTTCCTCTCTTCTGGCTCCTCAACCTTCTCCTTTGGGCGCTCTGGCCAGAGCCTCCTCCTGATGGGTGGTGGCCTAGGCTGCTTCTGGCGCCGGATATACTCAACTGAGGAGAGGCAGAATCTGATTGGCCCTGCTGAGACGAGTCCTCAGGTAGGGCCACCATTACCCAGGCCAGGTCTGAGCCACTGGGACAGCAGCCTACTCACAGTCCTCGTAGTCCTCCCTTTCTATCTGGTCATTGTAGTCCAGAGTGGGCACCTCAGTCTCCTCCTCAGGTACTAAAGGAAGATGCCAGTGGCTACTAAAAACCCCATTCTGGGAAACCCCTCAAGTGCAGCAAGCCAAGGTGGTTTGTCACCCCGAGGCCAGAAGGATGACAGCCACTCACCAGGCTGGTGCTCTCCGGCCTCTACATGGATCTCCTCTCCTTGACCCTGCCAGGTATTTGGGAAGGCTTCTCCTGCAACACAGATGCCCCAGGAGCAGGTGGATGGGGGCCTGTCCTAACCACCCTGACAGCCTAAGGCCACCAGCCATCACAGGCCCTGTGGACATACTGCCAAGCCCACACTCCTTGGAGTGAGCACTCCTGGTATCCTGCTAGCAACCCTGAAGTTAGAGAGCTGGGCTGGCTGTTGACACCAAGGAAGACAGGAAAGAATCCTGAAAGTTCATACAGCTGGGGACAGAGATCCCCATCCCCAAGCTACCAAGCCCTCTTCCTCCCCAGGAGAGGCTACAGCTCTGAGGAAACTCACTGGTCAAATTGCCAAGTTCATGATAAAAAAATGAGGCCCCAAATCCTACTTTGTTTGTAGGGAGAAGAGTTCCAGGGACCTACCCTCCCCATTCCCAGCCTCTAATAGAGGTCAGAGCCCCATAACCCCAGAGAAACCTGGCACAAACCTCCCTCCTGAGGTGGCTCCCCAAGGTTGGTGTTGGAGGGTGGGGGCAGTGGCCACTCCAAGGTTTCCACAGGGGCTGGAGTGGGGAGTCTCTTCCCGGTCGGGGGCCTTTTGGTGGCCTTGGGTGGCTTCTCCTTGGGCTTCTTGGTGGCCTTGGGTGGCTTCTCCTTGGGTTTCTTTGTGGCCTTGGGTGGCTTCTCCTTGGGCTTCTTAGTGGTCTTGGGTGGCTTTTCCTTCCCCTTCTTGGGAGGCCTCGGGGTCCCCTCCAGGGGCTGCTTGGTTGCCTTGGGGCTTTTGTCCTTCTTCGCTTTCTTCCCTTTGTCTTTAGCCTTTTCTGGAGGTACTGTCCAAGATTAAGATATAGAGCCCACTCTGTCTCCTTGTGGCCACTCAGGATGCCCACAACTTGGGTACAGAGGCTCTTATCAGTCCCCAGAGCAGTTCAGGAAACTAAGAGGTTAAACACTGTGGCACACCTAGTATTTGAGCCTCAGCTTTCTGTGAGTCTGGGATTGTCACCATCACATCTCAGCCTCTCTAAAGCCTAAGTGTGTGACACTCAGATCCAGGGAGAGGCCTACATCTGCCAAAACCTCAAGAGGAGCCCTCCACAATCCACTCCTTCACCAAATGTCCGTTTATCAGTCATGGAGTACCATTCTGTGCTGGACATGGAAGGGACAGAGAGGTGACTAAATCATGCAGGCCTGAAGAAGCAACAGTCATCCCTGCAATTATACAAATTGAAGGACATGGACCTGGGGTATCCCTGCAAAGACAAAGAAACTTCAAAGAAAAGGCACACTTGGTGGGTCCTGAGGCCCCCAAAAGAAGAAAAAGTAAGAGATCTTGGATGGGTTGGGGACCTGAGGGCCACACAGGGGACAGAGGAATAGTCGAGGAGCTTCTGGCTGCCAGGTCATCTCAGGGAGTCTGGGAGCAGGTGCCCCAGGTGGGGCTGTCCCATGGGAATCCTCCCAGGATGCATTAGCAGGAGCTGCAAATGCTGCTGTGAGTTTAATGGTGGATGGGAGACACGAAGGCATTTTGGCTGAAATACAGGAAAGTTACAAAACAACCAGGAGAAGGCCAGTTCCAGCAATATTCAAAAACCCTAGACAGCAAGCCTGGGCTGCTGAAGGTGCCGGGAGGAGAGATGTACAAGGAGAGTCGGGAAAGATCTACAGCTGGGGCTACAGGGAGCAGGAGGAGGAATCTGCTGACCTCAAGAAGAATGAATGGTGCCTTAGAGTCTCCTGGGAGAGAGATCATAAGATCTTTTGCTACCCTCCAGAGAGCCACGGGAAACAGCCAAGATTTATTGACAACTGATTACATAAGAAACCTTGGGTTACATGCCTTGGTGATGCATCACCTCATGTAATTCTCATAATAATCCAGGATTGCCCACTGCCCACTTCCACTTATGGCCGTGGGCCATAGGTCTTCAGCAGCCCCTCCCCATACCTGTGCACTCTTAGGGTAGGTGGGCAAGTGCAGGCGTGGGGTGGGGGTTGGGGTGTGGCCTGAAGAGAGGGCCTGTCAGGAAGGACAGCTGGGTGGTAACAGTTCCCTAGCCTAGCCTAAACCCTCTTGGGGCCTGGGGATGAGCTATTAGAACAGTTGTATCCACTGGCCCCCAAAAGCGGCCCTACCTCCCTGTGCTGGATGTGCCTTTAGGTCCCAGGGCTCGGCGCCAGCACTGCCCTCGCCCTGGCACAGCGTCCCAAGAGGCGCGGTTGCAAGTCCTCACCATGAACAGTCTGGGGAGGAGCCAGGCCCTTCAAGTCCTTTCATGCTCACCTAAGGTGCCAATCCCCCCACGGGTCGCCCGGGCCCCAGGCTCTCACCTTCTGCACCCGCCCCCAGCTTGCCCCCTGCCTGGGCTTTGCGGGTGCGCTGGGTGGGTTTGGGAGGCGGCGGGACCTCCACGTCGTCCTCCCGAGGTTCGGGCTCCAGCTCTGACAGGAAGCCTTCGAGGAACTCCTCGATCTCGTCGTCGGTCAGCACCGTCTGTGGGTGCCCCCCAGGACAGAGTGCTAGCAGTGCCAGAAGGCAGCCGAGCAGGGGCACGGTGCGCACGGCCATGGCCGCGGCACCGGGTGTGGGGGTGTGGGGCAGGGGCGCTGGGGGCAGGGGCGGGAGAGGGGTTCTGAGAACTGGAGCGGGGCGGGGATCCTCCGGAAAGGGGTGCAGAAAAGTGCGGGGGAGGGGATTCTGGGAAGGGGTGTGGGTGGCAGGGAGCAAGGGGATCTGAAAGAGGGTGGGAAAGGGTTTCCGAGATGAGGGGAGGTCTGGAGAGAAGTTCGGCGGGCTCTGAGGCTGATGCGGCTCGGGGGTGATGGGGGCGCTCCAAAGCGCTGGAGGCGACTGGGCACTCCAGCCCCGCGTGGCGAGCTCCCGCGCGGACCGCCCTCCAAAATGCTGCGGCCCGGGCGGGGGCGCCGGGGCTTCCGGAGCGGGCTCCCCACCCTCCGAGGGAGGAGGAGGCGAAGGAGGAGTCCGGCACCGACCGAGGGGCTGCGGGGGCGGGGATGGGGGGGGTGGAGCAGTTAGGGCGCCGCACTCTTGGCACTTCCCAATGCGCGGACTACCAGCGCTGTCCCGTTGGAGGCCGGAGCCCAGCACCGAGGATCCGAGGGTCTGGGTGGCAGGGACGACTGGGGGGGATGAAGGTCCTAGGAGAAGAAAAGGTACGGTCTGGGGGTGAGTATCTGACAAAGCCAATGCCTCTGCCCCACTTTGATCTTAGCACTCGCCAAGCCTGCCAGAGGTGCCTGGGAACTATGGGTCGTGAGGATTCTTGTCACCCCATCCTTTCCACTCTGTGAAGCGTTTGCCGGAGGGCTCTTCGAAATGTCACCTGCAGCAACCCAGTGTCAACTTCCCGCACTCATCCCGCCAACTTCACCAGGTTTGTGCAGGACCAATCCCTGTGCTTACAGGAAGAACAGCACATTGAGAATTCACTTTCTAGCCTGGGGCAGTACAAAACTGCTCTCAGCAGCAACTGCTCTGTTTTGGGTAGATGCCTCAGACAGAGGCATCACCCCAGGTCTAAACATGGACAAATTACCATTTCATTTCTTCCCCTTACCAATACCTGTGTTTTTTGTTTTTTGAGTTTACACCAGGCATTAGGTATCCTCCTGTATTCCCAGCTATTGGAGAGGCTGAGACAGGAAGGTTACTAGTTCAGGGCCATCTTGAGCAAATTAAGACGCTGTCTCAAAATAAAAAATAAAAAAAACTGGGGATGTAGCTCATGATGGAATGCCCCTGAGTTCAATCACCAATACTGCAAAATTAATTAATTAATTAATTAAATCTGTTTCTAATGGCTCCGGGTACCACATGAACTCAAGGGCACATAGATTGGGCATCAGGGCATCAGGATCCATCAGTGGTGTCCATCATGGTGCCAGTAGAGGGAGATTTACCACATGTGCCTTGGTGTTTAGCTTCTAGAAGGGCAAATATTGACTGGCCCAAAATGGCTATCACAGCTAAGGGCATGGCTTCTACCCTTGAAGGAATAAGGAATTCAATTCACCCTTGAAGGAATAAGGAAGCAAGACAAAGCACACTTGTAGCCAAAAGTCAAGGTGAGCAGTAGCCAGCAACCTTAATCCAATGTTGTAAGAGTTTGACCCTAGTAATGTAGTCCTGTAGGAACACCCAGGAGCCCTGGAAATATTAAGAATTGAGTTTGGACTTCATATGTATTTAGAGAGAAAAAGCAAGTCAGGAAGCACCTGGATCCTGATGTGCCCTGGGCCAGCCTGAGCATACAGCAGCAGCCACGCACATCCCAGTGGAGCTGCTAAGCTGAGCACTGACAGGACTCACCAGGAGTGGGAGAGTCCTCCAAGGCCTTCCCTCTGCTTTCCCACTGGCTCTCCTTAAGAAAGCAGGGGCACAGTCAAGAGCTGGTCCCTGAAGTCAACCCTGGCTCTGCCTTCCTGGCCCTCTGATCTCTGCAAGTGACTTCAACAGTACTCATCACTACTACTATGTGTGGATCATGCATGTGCCATACCTAGCACATGTGTTCAGATTCACACCCTACTGGCTCTTGGCTCATGATTCCCCCTGGAGACCAGCATGGGCCCCAGCCCCTGGGCTCTCAAAATAGCCCCTCACAGCCAGGCCTCTGCCTGCCCTAAGGGCCCCAGCCTGGTCCTAGTGGCAGCAAGTGTGAAGCAAGCTCTCATAAACCACTGTCCCCTGCAAACCTCTGACTCATCATTCTCAAAACTGCTTCTGGGAATTTGCTTTGCAGCTCCAGGTCGAGTGTGTCATGCTGGAGGCCCAAGGCTGGGTGAGGGGCTTTGGAATGTCACTTCTCTGGGAATGGCTCACACATGAATTGAATTTGAGCCTGACATCTTCTGCCAGGGAAAATAGAAGCCATTTAGAAAAATGAAAAAGAACTAGAAAGAGCCCTTTCCCTTAGCTGCAGTGAGTCTCCAACATGAATATGAACAGAAGCTCCCCCCCACCACCACCATGGGGAGCTGGACCCTCTGTGTCCAGGAGGGCTAAGGGTTTGAGGGCCTCCAACCGGGCAGGAGAGGGCAACTTCTCTCCAAGCCAGACTGAAGTTCCTCCCCTTGGAATCCCTGCTAAGCTTAAAGATCTGCCCCCAGGCGGTCTCTGGGGCTCTGCCTGGGATAGGGAGATCAAACAGGGAGCCTGTGAGGAATCTTCTCTCTCTGCTGAGGAGCATATGCCAACTCCCCAAAGGCACAGCCAAAACCAATCTAGAAAGTGGGAGGCTCCTGTTCTCCATGACCTTGAGCACTAAGGGGCTTCAGAGTCCCAGCCCCTGCCACACCTCAGAGCATCTTTATCTACATCCAAGGATTTTCCTGAGCTACCTTGGGGGGAGTCAGCTAGAGACCCAGGTGACCTTTCACCCCATTCCCCCTCCCTCCTGCTTCTCACAGCAGGACTGGGCTGGCCTGAAAAGGGCAAGGCCACCCTCTCCCTTGTTGCTACACAGTGAGAAGCAGAGCTGTGGAAGAGCCAAGGAACTCTGAGGGTGGAGGCCTAAAGCAGAGGAGGAAAGAGCAGAGAGAAAGGGGGCTTCGGCCGGTGAGTATGTCCTGTGAAGCTTGTGGGCCAAGAGTGCACCTCTGAGGACCCTTAAGAAAGAACCTTGCCAGGAGGATTCCCTGCTAGGGGAAGCCTCAGGAGAGGGAGAGAGAGGTCAGGCCAGGGACACCTCAAGTTGTCAGGGGCAAGGCCACAGAGGAGGAGTGGTGCCATGCAGAGTGTCACACAGGGAGGGGGGCGCACCAAGGCCTCTTACCCCTTTACAGTAACACCTCTCCTTCTAGAAGTAAGGGCCCCCTCCTCACCCAGGGAACTTTCTGGGATCAAGCCTTTGGGGTGGGGACAGGAGATGCTGCCAACAGGATGAGAAATCGAAGCTTTGAGTTAGACTGAGTTTAACTAGTTGATGGGCCAGCGGTGGGAGGGAGGGGCCAGAGCCCTGGCTTTGAGAACAAAGCCCTGGTTTCCTGCTTTCTCCCACTGGTCTGCATCCAATTTGCAGGCTATGACCTTAAATAAGGTCTCTGTTCCCTCAGGCTATGTGGGGGGGGGGGTCTTCACAGGAAGGTCCCATTCCTTTGGATAGTCTTGTGGCAGGTACAGTTTGGGCCTAGAGGCAACACTGGTCTATCTGTACTTGGGAAGCATGAGGGTCAGTCCTGACCCTGCATGCTGGTGATCTGACCCATCTCTTCTCCTCCTCTCTAGACTTAAGAGTGCCATCTTATTCACTTTGTGACCATACAGTTTCCATTAGCCCTCATTCAACTCTTCTTGTTCAGAGACACACTGTGACTCCTGAAGGAGGACCCCAAGACCTGGATAGCCTCTCTTTGAAGATACTCTTCTGATCCCACAAGAGTGGGAGGCACGTAGGCTGGGGTTACAGCTTAGTGGAAGAGCACTTGCCTAGCATGTGTGAGGTACTGGATTTGATTCTCAGCACCACATATAGATAAATAAAATAAAGGTCCATTGACAACTAAAAAATATTTTTAAAAATAAAATAAGAGTGGGAGGCATGTGCTGCAGCTCCCTCTCCAGGAACTGGGAAAGTCTAAAGGTCTCAGCAGAAGCCCATGCAACACACTCTGTACCCAAGTACACTTGTCAGCTTCCCTGAGTTTGTGAAAAGACACCCTTAGCCATCTTGGCAGGACCTGCAGCACCATCTCAAGAGGGGACTGATGAGATGTTACTTGCCCCACTTCTCTGTGGCTCCACATATGGGGATAGACCACTATTCCTCAACCTACCAGGCCACCCTGAGTCCCCATCCTCCGCACCAGTTCAGTGCCCTCTCGTTTCCAGGGCACCATAAGCACCTCAAAGGTGTGTTCCTATCAGCGTTTCTTTGGTTCACTCAGGGTATCTATGGAACTTTCAACAAGGTGTAGGTCTGAGGGTGGTCCAGAGGTCCAGCAATCACAGATAGGTAACCTCCCTTCAAGAAGCTAAGGCTGGATGGGGCCAGAGGCATACAAAGTCAGCAATTCAAATGCCTAGACACAGAGGGCATAGGTAAGGGCCCTGAACTCCTTGGAGGGAAGGAGGAGGGGAAGCCCAGGCAGGCAGATTCTGTCCCCAGGCCCTTCAGGGCATCTCAGGTAGCACAGTGGCCTAATACCTGCTAAGTATGTGCATTTCCCCATTTCTCAGAAAACTGAGACCCTGAGAAGGGACTTGTTCAGGACACATCATATATATGATAATGAAGGTCCAAATTAATCCCTCTGAGGCTGAACCAAACACTCCTTCCACATGGGCTTCACCATGTGGGGCCATCATGCAACAGGGCCACAGCAGCCTACCTCCAGCCTCCCTCCTGCTGAGGCCCATGCCTCAGCCCCTGAATGCCACATGAGCCATGAGCCTCACTAGGGCCTCAGCTTGACAGGAGATCTACACTCACCTGCCAGCAGGCTCCAGAGGGCCTGTGTTCTATCTGGGAAGCCACAGAACACAGGGACAGGAGGCTTCCAAGGCCTAGGAGCAGATCCTCCCAACCTGAATCTGAGGCCACTGGGCCCAAGTGACACAGCTCAGACAAAGAGGGTTGTGCCCCCAGAGGAATGAACCCATGGTTAGTGATAGCTTGGGGGTTCCTTTATGCAGAAACTTGTTCCACAGTTCACTGTCCAATAGAACTGTGCATTTGTGTGTGTGTGTGTGTGTGTGTGTGTGTGTGTGTGTGCAAGTGAGCACGTGCATGTGTGAACTAAATAAAAGGTGCAAGAAGTCTGGTCTTAGCCAGCAGGCCCCCCAGATCCTAGATACTGTTTCTCCTGGAGACTGGGTTCACCCAGGCGCAAAGGAGAAGGGACCAGGCCTTGTTCCTCCCCTGGGGGAGGTCTTTAGAGACACCCGCTTCTCGGTAGCTCAGGTGCCTGGATGTCATCAGTAGGGTCAGCTTCTAGAGTCCACAAGGAGGGGTGATTCCCCAAGCTGTGGTGACTAGGGTCTTCCAGACAGCGTCTAGCCATCCTCACAACTGGCAGAACAATTTCCTTGGTTTCCAACAACTTGAAAACCACATGTGATTTTCCACAGTCCCCGGCTCTGCAGGCCTGGCTGCTGAGTGAGCAGAGTCCATGCTGAATTCCTTCCACTCACCGCAAGGCAGACAGCAGGCCCAGCTGTGGGGAGATTCACTGGGATGGGGGTCACCACAGCAAGGCAGGGGCGGACTTCCAGCACCGATGAGTAATTCTGCAGTCAGTAAATCTGGGAAGAGGGCATGTGACCACTTAATGTAACAATCAGCCCAGTGTTAAGTTACGAAGGAGGAGGCATTCTTCAAAACAAGGTTGAGTGGCAAAAATAGTTTAATCCCCACCTCACATCTTCATCAAAATTAACTCCAGAGGATGGAAGATATCAAGGTTAGGGGAAAAAAAAAACCACAAATGTAGTAAAAGAAAATACGAGTCCGTGTTTATATTCTTGGTGGGGGAAGTCATCTAAGGAAGGATAGAGAATTTTGATTTCATAAAATTTTTGCCTTCTGTATAATAAAAACACTCTGAAGATAAAATTTAAAAGCAGGGCTCGGGTCATAGCTGTGGTAGAATGCTTGCCTGGCATGTGTGGGGCACTGGGCTCAATTCTCAGCACCACATATGAATAAATAAAGATCCATCGACAACTACAAAAAAATTTTTTTCTAATTTTAAAAGCAAACAAAACATTGGAAAAGAATCTGTAATCCTTCCAATATGAAATAGCCTCTTGTAGCCAGGCACAATGGCACAGACCTGTAATCCCAGAGGCTCGGGGGGGTGGGGCAGAAAGCTCATGAGTTCAAAGCCCCCTCAGCTAAGCAACTCAGTGAGACTCTATCTCTAAATAAAATACAAAATAGCAGGGCTGGGGTTGTGGCTCAGTGGTAGAGCGCTTGCCTCGTGTGTGTGTGTGTGTGTGTGTGTGTGTGTGTGTGTGTGTGTGTGTGTCACTGGATTCAATCCTCAGCACCACATAAAAATAAATAAATAAAATAAAGGTATTGTGTCCATCTACAACTAAAAAAAATTTTTTTAAATGGTACAAAGATTTACAGGTAAAAATCCAGACACTTATGCCTTGATAAAGGAAAGCTGCTAAATAAACTTCTTTATATTTTTTAAAACTAATTTGACTATGTTGTTCCTTTAAAAAGTGATCTAGAGTGCTGCTTGCCTAGCATGCACGAGGCCCTGTGTTCAATGCTCAGCATTTCAAAAAGAAAAAAAGTGAGCCAAGACTCAGTGGAATACCGTGTGCTTAGCATGCATGAGGCCTTGGGTTCAATCCCCAGCACCAAAAAATGTATATAAATAAATAAACTCACAAAAGGAGAAACATAAATGACTGGGAAACATGCAAATGTTCTACCTCACTAAAAGTTGTAAAAGTTCAAATTCAAATGTACCCAATACTGCTTTTTCCTTAATTCTAAGTTAAAAATCTCTCAATGTAAGCAGTAATGGGAGATTACTGTTTGAGTACTACTAGTAACAGGTACCTTCACACTGTTTGGGTCATCTTATTCAAGGTCATTTGATTGAAAAGAGCAGAAGCCCTACAAAGCAGCTGAACCTCAATCAGCCATCTTGCTAAGTGACAGAAAATCTGATGCAATAATGACTAAAATAAGGTAGAAACATATTTTTTGCTCATGTAACTAAATTGAGGCAAGTAGTCTGAAGCTGGTATGGTAGCCTAACAACCACCAGAGATTCTAGCTCCTTCTATTTTGTTGTTCCCCTAAGCTCCACAGAGAGCTTCTTTCTCAAGAGTACAAAATAGCTATTTGAGACCCAGCCATCATTGCATCATCCCAGCCAGCAGAAAGAATGGAAGGGAATAATATTAATGCTCAACATCTTCCTTTACAAACACTTTCCAGAAGCTCACACAAAACTCCATGTTCACTCCATTGCCTTAGCCACAACTCTGTCACAGGCCATGCCCAGCTACAAAGAAAGCTAGGAAGTATGGTCTTTTTCTGATGTTCTGGACTCACTAAATGTCAGGTGTTCTATCACTAAAGAAGGAGACAGATACTGAGGAATAATTAACAGTCTTAGTTACATATGATATTCTCTTGCTTTTGTGTCTAGTAAGAGTACTAAAATCTTAGACCAACGTAAAAAAAAAAAAAGTCAATATTTGAAAAAGGAAACTGTGAAAGCTGAAATCCCAGGAAAGTGTAAGAATAAGAAATCAATGGTGGCATTAGCAAGTTTGTAGCCAGTTTCTGAGTGAGGTATTCATATCCTTGCCTGTTTGTCTGCAGACTCAGCCCGTAGCTCTGCCAAGGAAAGCAAGAAACAGGCACCAGCTTCAGGAAGGGAGGGGATCCTAACAGGCACCCACCCCATTTCCACAGCTCCTGCCGTTAGAGAGGGTGCCAGAAGGGCTGGGGATGTAGTTCAGGGGTAGAGTATTTGCCTAGAATGCATGAGGACCCTGGTTCAGTTTCCAGCACCACCAAAAAAAAAAAAAAAA